ATCTCTGGTTTTCTCTGTTAGTCCACTGGAACTTTCGACAATTTTCGTATCGTTATACTGATTTCTTAGTTTTATTCTCTTCAAGTATTTTCATTTTTCTTCAAACCAACCTAGCTTCCTTGCTGGTTGTATTTTTCACAAACCACATTTAATCTCTCTTCGTCACGATGTCTTGACAGTTCTTAATTCTTGTGAGGTCCTACTAGCGACTGCGCACCTTGACGTTTGCTGATAAGTTCGCAGAATAAATTTATGTCTACGCGGATTATTTTTGACCATTTTCATGTTGAATGTTACTATGATCTCAACACTTTTCACGAATTAACTTTACTTATTTCAAAGTAAAATACTCTTTCCGTCACAATTGCGACATTTGATTGAAAATTTTTCTGCTGACTTCATTATGTTTATGAATAAAGAAGACTCCAATGTGGGTTGATGCCTTAAGTACTAGATATTGCATACCTCCACATGGAAATGAAAAGCTCTGAAACAAAGGATAAGGAATGAGATGGACATATTCACTCAATATTTCTGCACTGCTCTGGGTAAATACTGAAGCGTCCAGGGTAAGACGGTGGTTGTTTCGCAGACAGTCAATTCAATTCTGATCATTTTTCGCCACTATCATTCTCTTGTCCTTATACGAAATGTCAAGCGCTGATTTGTGCTTCTAATTTCATGCCTTCTAATCTCATGATTACAAGCTTAATGCGGTTCAACACCTGATATCAAGATTGAGCAGCAGTAAAACTAATTAAATCAAATCAGTAGAATTTCACGTACAGTCAATTTATGAAAGCTCAGTCTTTTAATAAGTTGAATCGAACAAACAGCGAATAGCCAGATTGCAAATTGTTCATCGGATTGTTGACTAACAGATGTTTAGCGAAATGAAAGAAAGTAAACCTCCTCGCTACAGCCATATTGAAAATGTGGACAGTTCCACTTAATCAAATCTCATTTTAAATAACATTTTGCAGCAATAATCTGATACACAGTGCAATACTCAGGGAATCTAATGCGTGACCAGCGAACAGTGGTAGCCGCACAAAAGTGCCGTTTGATTGGAAACGTTTGCTTCCATTACCAGTTAACGAATGATGTCTGTGAACGGTGCAAGTACCTCCAGGTAATAACTCTTATGATAACAATATAAAATATTCAAGCATGTATCATGGTACCGTCATGAATAAATAACTGCTTTTCAGCTTTTGATATTCATTGTGGCTGTTTTATGCTTGTATTTAAGAGTAGTGTCTGTGACCATGAGTTATCTTTCGTACTTCGAATTCAGAAATAATCTAAAATTCGCCTTGATACTGATAGGAAGGATTGTAGGTTTATCAGCGTTTCAAGTTGAAGAGTTGGCTTCATTGCCTAGTGATAATTTTGTGTTTGTTGTTCTGTTCACTAGTAAATGGATTAAATCAAAACCAGCAATACACTGTAGTAAAGCAGGATTTAGTGAATACATCGAATTTCAGTCGAACGCTTCCTCTGAATACTCTGCACACAGGGATATATAGATATATATACATTTATACTACAAGAATTACATCGAGAAATGTAAGGCGAATAGTTAAATAAACAAGATTCAAATAATCATGCTGAGAGCTACAGGTGGAATAATGTATATAATTCATGTGCAAAACGATAACTGGCAAGTGAATTTGAAGGCTTAAAATTAGGCTAATTTTAAATGACGTTCCAATTACATCATTTGTATGGACGATTATCGGTCAGAGAACGAAAGTGAATACGTACCAAGTATTGCGAAGTGAATAATACTGTGATTAATGGTAATAAAGACACTGTTTGAACGAGTCAAGTGAATGCTACTGATATAAGACAATTTCTAATGTAACAGCAATAGTACTTACTATGAGAGATTGTTTATAATATCATTTTAATTGGTTGATAAGTAAAACATGGCAGGATCAAAATGATCGCCATTTCTTCTTGTACACAGAGATCGGATTTACAATTCTAATTTCACAAGCGAGCATCTTCCTGCTGATTTGTCTGCTGACAAATTGTGAATTACGGTATGAAGTAGGTGTCATGTCCGCAGTCTACAAGATTCTCCCTAATAAACAGTTTGTTTCTTTGAATTCAGCCACATATAACTAGTTTGGTTAACACTCCATCATTCGAGTAGGCGATCGCCTCTTTGTACGACCAACGCATTTGCTACAAGAAACACGTTCAAAATGACACTCGCAACTTGTAGTGTCGAGGATTGACGATCGTGACTTCAGAGATTGCAGCAGCACCCACTTGATGATGTCGAGTAACGCGAGTTCTGTGGCATTGTAGGTTCTCCTGAGGGCCTCCTCAAGTCTTCGTTGGACCATATCCTGTGCATCATCTGATTTCAAGCGCACATCGATGTATGCAGCTACTTTGGATTATATTTGGATAATTTTAACAAGGCCTTTTTCTTTAGGATATTCGTTGATGGACTAATTGTAGTTTGCATTCGAAGTAAAATTAGTCATTAGGGACTCCATTTTATCTACAGTGTACTGCCAGGTCAAGTTTTGAACAGTCTTCTTATATCGGATTGTTATTATATTCCACGTGTGTTGGTGTGAAGTTAAGATCATGATGTCATGAATTTACTTTTGCTCACAAGTGTTCCGCTTTTGATTTGCTTTCACAGACAATCAAACTATTTATTTATTTTTTTATTTTTGATTTACAGCTTGATTTCCACACCGTATTTTCAGTACAATTGTGGAATTTTCAGCATGGATATCGGTTGCCCAAATTCAGGCATCTGCTAATATTAGGTGAATACCGTTTGTCGTATATACTGTCTGAAAATGCTACTTTTTAGAGAGTAAATTATTCGGTGATGTTGAGGTTTTCGATTGCTTGACGCTGTGCTAGGAGTGGCCACTTTAACGAAAATCTTCAGTTTGAATTTCATCCTCTAACATTTTATAAGTCCTTTTGTAGAAACCGTCTGAGACCTTGGCGGAGAAATCTTCGCCATGTAACGGAATCGCAGGAATACTGAACATATAACTATTGTTTCAATGAATTTAAGTAGGTGTTCAGTCTTTTTTCATTGACTGGTTTAGAAGCGTTAGCGAAAACAAATTTATGGCTGCTCTCTTCGATATGCTGGGTTAGATCCGTCTGTTCCGCTTCAATTGCAAGGCAGTGTGTCGAAGACTTTTGTTCTGACTCCGTTCGCTCTGTTATTTACATCTTTATTCATTCCAGTGTACATTGAACTCAGCGTCGCCTTCAGTTATCCATTTTGCATTTGGTCGTCTTCTCTTTCCCTGCCCTCCTCCCATCACTATTACTGACTTACAGTAAGTTTTGAAGGCCAGCCCCTTATGTATCTTCTATTTCTTCCTAGAACAGTTGTACACATTTCCTTGAATATCACTTTCAGTGAGTTGGTCACAAGATCTTCCACGCTGATATAGGTACAGAACTTCTACACTGTGGTAGAGTATAATTCCATTATGGGTAAAATTTATATTGATGAAATCACACAGTGTTACTCAGCATTACTTTCTCATGATGTTTCGAGCACAATTTATTGGTCATAATCATATCAAGGTGCTCACACAACATTCCAATTTCGTTTTGATAACCTTTATATGATTATGAGCAATAAAATGTGCTTGAAACTTCATCACTTAATAATACTGTATAACACTGAGAGTCTTTATCAAAATTAGCTTTACCCATAAAGGAATACTTCCACGCTGATTTCCTCACAAATACCACGTAGTGTCTCCAAGTATGCCTTGATCTTATCTGAAGGCATCTCTTGATGTTTTGTCCTTCAGTTTCTGTATGTTGAATTAGAATCACAGTGGTTTGTCTCCCGTTTCATTCAGGGATTTCAGCTACAACTTGGTGGTTCTTTCGACTAGTTCACGGTCTGCGAAAAGTTCTCTATTCTTATTCATTTCGCCAAGGGAGATCCTCTCGGCCCATGATCAGTTCCCTCTCTATATTATCTTTTCTCATTTCGGCTTGCATTCATATGGCTCATGAGGATTTCGATGTCTCTATTCGGGATATTGTACATTACTGCTTGTAGTTTTCTGTAAAATCGTATTTCTTCTATTGTTCCGTGTTGTTTGTAGCACTGTGCATAGCACTGGATTATTGTGACCTTCCTTTCTGCCTGTAGAGTTGAACGTTGCTCTCGTGATCCTGGATGGAATTGGTTCCCACTGCATTAGGGCATTGCCTGCACCTGGTGATATCATGACAGACACTCACTGCAACAGTGAAATAGGCATGAAATAGGCAGCAATGGAGTGGTTTTGATTAAATGCCAATGCATTAAAGGAGGATTCATACCACTGCTGAAATCATATCCATTTAAGACTTAGTATGTTTGTACATAGGAACTTCGCAACAATATCATAGTTTCCTGCATTCATCAAACGATTAAGAGAAATGAATGAGACATTTTTGAATGGAGATCACTAGTCAAATGTAACACAGTCATAACAGAAATATGAATCGAAAATGTTTCAGTTTTTAACATTTAGATACATTTCATGAGTGTGTGCTGTTTCGCAAATCTGTGCAATAAATGGCTAAAAATATTTGGTTTAAAGGTTAATTTCGTTGGTTGAAGTCAACACATGCTGGAAAGAATTGCCTTCCAAGTAGTGAGTCCCTTCCTTCTACTAGGTGAATACATAAACACTTACCTGCCACATTGGAAACTAGTGGCGCATATATTTTCACTTGTTTCAGCTAGCGATATACTTTTACCTGCATTAAATATCACTCACTACTGAGTGATTGACTTCACCTTTGAAGTTATGGGCCATACTAATCTCTACATCTCACAGTTAGTCATTTATCACCAGTGAACTTCTATTCAATTTTTAAGAATACTTCTTGCTATAATACAACGGTTCCTTATGCATCGATACACTTAGCCAGCTCAATCGATTTATCATAAGGTCGAAATTGAACTAAGAAGTCATTATGGTAATACAAGTGATACGATGAATCAAGGTAATTTCAGGATGTCCGGGACACTCAACAGAGAGCTCGGGGATTAGGTTTGGTGCTTACTGAAACACATAATTAAGGTTTATCTTCAAAGTGTAAAGAACTGATGTACTCAAGGATGCTGAAATGGGCCTCAGGCAGTATTGTAATCAGAGATGTTACTACTGAGTTGTTTGGGGTCACGACTGACCTCTAGCAGGAATGCGATTGTCGTAGTTAACATTAGAATTCAGAACTCATATTTCATTTTTTTTGGATGTTGTTATCTGGATTAACTGGTATGTCAGTGAGTGGTAGTCATTACTGAACAGATGTATGAACAAGTGAAATTAATAACAGTCCTAACTTAGTATTTCATGTGGAATACCGATCTGAGTGAATATCCTGATTACTAGGAAGAATTATTTAGACTGACAGTTTTATGGCTATCGTTTTGTTAAAGATGTCATTGCTTCTGAATAGAAGACAGAATGTTGTTTCTCATAGACAAGCATTCTCACTGGTTTAGTGGCAACGCATATTGAGCTAACGTTATGTCACATACTGCTAAGAAAACGAGATATTCAGCTTTTCAGACTGATGAATTTGAAATTCTACTGGCTGGCACCAACATTTACCTGATGGCCACCACTTGTCACAACTTCTCTTGAGAACTCCAGCCAACATCGTCCTGTGATCAGTGGCTGGAAGGCATCACATTAACATTCAAGGAACCCAAGAGTGTTGTTCACGAAGTAATTTCAAAACATTATTGATACTGCAGAGTGGCTGAAAGCTTCAACAACCTAGTTCAACGGCTGGCTATATGACAATGCCTGCCACGTGGTAGGTGATCCACATCACAAAACTCGGAGAAATATTTGAAGTGGAGACAGAAGTACGACAAGGTTTCCTGCCTATTATTACTGACGTTAATCCTGACTGTGGTTGACTTGATTATGCTGGAAACTATGAGGAGTGAGAAGACAGGAGTACCTGGGAACAAAAAGAAGACTGGAGCATATCTGGATTTCACAGATGCACTTTGTCGGATTTCCCATAAACTCAAAGACTTACAGGCGAAGACCAGACAAGAAGAAGCAGTGCACAGAAGATTAGAATTCAAATGAAGATAGATGAGACTGAGGTGATCAAGATAACAAAACCACTATCATCACAAACAACAACAATAACAACGATGATGTCAACAAGCACCGAGCGCCAGTCACTATCAATCAAAGAAATTTGGGAGAGGTTACTTTCTTCACCTATCTGGCTACGCAGCATCGTTTAAGCTGCGCGCGAGAGCATGGATGATAATGTCAACACCAGACAGGGTCGTATAAGCAACAGATTTCTTCATCAATCCGAAATCAGTTCGGAAATCGTCTGAACTCAGCCAGCGTCGAAATGAAAATTTGTGGAACAATCAACTGAGAACGTACTACTAAATGAAATCTCGAAGAAGATAGTCGACATTTTACTAAACTGGTTATAATGAATATGAAAGCTATTGATAACTGTTAATTATTTCAATCAACACAGCCACAGTATAACAGATAATGATTCAAGCAGTGAAAAGGATACTTAATTAAATTTCGTCTAGACATAAACAGCTATATGTGTAGGCTGAGGTGATAAGTCCGTGAATGGTATTTTCGACGAGAGGGAGGTATTCATAAAAGAAGTGAGTATTCTTTGAAAAGAATTGTATTGTTGAATAAAAGAAAAGTAAACTGACTGACCTAGTTTGTCTTAAAATTTCTTGAGGAAGATAACAAAAGAATACACAGGAATGTGTTCATGTGGCATTAATTACGCAATACACCTTGTTTCATATTTTTTAACTTCAATCGAAAGTATATGGGATTAGTTAAAACAAATTATGAGCTATTCTCGTCCTATGTGAAAGTTCTGCACAAAATAATAATGCTGATACTTTTGAGATCAACACTGATAATAGTAAAGATCAAGCTCTTTAATTCTCTACGCTTTCCTAGATTACGTGACATCTGCGTAACTCAACGAAAATCTTGCTCCTTCCCACAGCGGAACCAATGTCATTGACTATTAGAACTGCAGTGCATTGAGTACACAAAGTGGCTAAATACGAAGTGAACAGGCTTTGTATCAAATTTGGCGATACATAACTTCAGAAATGTTTAGCAAGTGCCTACGTGACTTTGTTGAGTATCTTAGAGATTAGCAGTGTCGTATAGTTTGATTTTACCACGCTCCTCCATACCTGATTCACATATTTTGTCAGGTCGTCTCATATTCTTATAGTTTCTAAAAAGATTTTCTGTCTGACTTATTACATAAAGAAGTTGAGGCACTCAGGTATAACCCAATCTCTTCTCATACAATTTATTAATTCATGTGTTTTGCCCATTATTCTTTATTGTTCTCCATTATTCTTCCCTGGACTACTCAAGAAAGACCATATAATACTACGAAGGACATTGAGGGCTGTAAGTAGGGTCAGTGCTATCCCTTTGACTCAACTAACCGACACTGTTGTCAATAGGCACATGAATTCTTGTAAACACTTAGCTAAAGTTATTTTGTCTGATAGTGAACATCCTCTTTATTCACATTTGTTTCCTTGTATCTCTTCGGGTAAGACCAGAAGAAATTTCATAAACATTTATGCTCGTACTACAAAATATAAAAATTCGACCGTACCATATGGCACGAGTATTGTGTGAAGAGACGAATATCAGAAAAGAACTTTTACAACTTCTAAATCATTAACTCAACTAAAAAATGTAATGATGTATATTATTGCATGTGTGATTTGTTATATTACTTATTTATTATTCACTATGACCTAGAAATGGTGTATTTTGTTGGGGTTTTTATTTTTCCTATTAACTATTACTATTTTTAAAATTTTATACATTATATAATTATAAAAAGAGCTAAACCATTGCAATATGTAAAATGAAACGCTGAAAATTCCATGCTGTAAATTGTTATTGTTGTGGAATAAAGTGATTATTATTATTATTATTTATGAAGTAAGTGGCAGTAACCGGCTAGCAGCTTAACAGAAGAGAGTTCACACAGGATAGAATTCAGAAATTTATATCCCACACAAATGTCATCATTAGAACAATAAGGGACAAATGACGATAATGGATATTTAAGTAGTACATCAATAGAGACAGTTTTTCGTCGCATTCAGCGTACATCAAATTTCGCTTGGTTGATTAATCAGACTATCAAATCTTCTAATCGGTTCTGTGTTGATATTTTTCCTTACATCAATTGGCATGTATTTTAATTAAGTCTACAAAATGAGAATTATTAGGGAGATTCCATATTCGTTTGTCTATTAGATGTATCATACAGTGAAACATTGTCATTATTTACTGGATGACGTTTCGAGCAAAATTTATTGTTCTTAATCATATCAATTATATTCACACGACTTTGAAACTTGAGTTTTATAGTTTTCTTTGTGCTCTCTATTTGTCGTAAGGGTAGTAAATTTTCCAAATATCTGGGACAGGTGTTGAATCATTCCTGTTACATGTTTTTGCAGTTAATTTGATAAACGAAGCTTCTGTTATCAATCTCTCCCTCCACCCTGTGACCTCAGATTTAAAAACTGTCATCCTATGTCATCCTATTATATGGTTTTGTGTAACTGTATGTAGTGCTATAGCTAAACTATTCTCCAGATTTCTCATCTAATTTCGGTAAGCCAATCTAGATTTTGCTAGGTTTTTATGTTCAGCTAGTCTGACTGCCCCTGTTCTTCTAGTTTGACCTATGTATTTGACCTGATAATCATTACTGGGTATAAGATAAACTAAATTGTTTAACATATAATAGGATGACATAGGATGATAGTTTTAAAATCTAAGGTCACAGGGTGGAGGGGGAGATTGATAACAGAAGCTCTGTCTTTTGAATCAACTGCAAATACATGTAACAGGAATGATTAAACACCTGTCCCAGATATTTGGAAAATTCTACTACTCCTACGATAAATGATAGAGGACAAAGAAAACTATAAAACTCAAGTTTCAAAGTCGTGTGATTATACTTGATATGATTATGAACAATAAATTGTGTTCGAAACCTCGTCATCCAGTAAATAATGACACTATTTCACTGTGTGATACATCTAATAAACAAAGTAATATGGAATCACTCACTACCGAAGTGAACAAGTTTCTACACATATACTAATAAGTCCCACATTATCAAGAAGAAACTTCGAGAAAGCTTCACTATTTAGAAACGTCACAGTTTCCTATGAAATATCGTCACGCCATTATTTTCACACAAATCGTCACCTGGAAATACTCTCACAAAATGAAGATAACAAATGAATGAAACTAGAAAAAAATCTGGAGTACACTTGCAGTCTAGCAAACCATGACCTCAACTACGAAATATTCATTGGTGAAGGTGCTTCCACTTGAGATACCTAACTACCCGCATCCTATATGAAACCACTGGCATCTAGGTTTAATTTTAAGAGGTTCATTTTGAACTACTTAGTTCTTTGGAAATATTTTTTAGCTTCTTGCATGGTAGAACTCAGCTGCTATAGGTAACTGTTAACTATGCGATGATAGTCACGACGTGTTCTGGATGCTTTTCCATCTGCCTTAAGTGACGTGACAACAGAAGTCACGCATTTCGATTATAATAGGACAAGTGATGGGCTTCAACTACACATAATAACAAGGTAAAGGGATATCCAACTCAAACTTACTAATATCGTTACTTCCGCAACTATATGATATAAGAACGATTTTCTATATGTTGCGAAAACAATTTCAAAAAGAGATGATGAAGAATTCGACAATGGCGAGCCAACGTTTCAGAAGCATAGATCAAACCATCAGCAGGTATTCGTTTGAATCCTTAACGTATATTTGTTTGCAAATGAAAAGTTTTAGGATCCTCCCCACATATTTGAAATCAGCCTACACGAAGCAACTTGACACATTGGGATATGCATATGGTTAACCATTCGACTGAATGTTAATCCTACTCACACAAAT